GACAATTCTGCTCTCCTGGAACTGCTGTTTGGTCTCCCCACACACAGCCTCCTCTCCAGCACAGCTCCACATGCACACAGGGCACTGGGAACAGGAACCAAGGCAGGTAAAGCACAGCTGCTGCACAAGTCTGCTCTGTGAGCACCCACCTGCATCCTGGGACATGCAGCCACCCTGGCAGTGGTTCAGTACCACAGACCATGCTTTGCTGTACTTCTATACCACTTAATTTCACCACACAGGCTAAAACACACTTTAGAAAAACGTGCCAGCATAGCAGCAACAGTTTACAATCCCGTTAGCAAAAATGCACAGGCTTGTTGTGCCGAGGCCTTGCTCACATCCTGTCCCCAATGTACAGGACCCAGCCAAGTGCCCATGAGCAGCACAGCATCCTCTCTGCTTTATTACCCAGCCACTTTTATTTCACCCAAATGAAAAATAAAAACCCATTACTAAGCAAAAGTCTTGATAAATTTTATGAGATTGTAATGCTTCCAATTTATCTTGAAAAAGCCCCAAATCCTCGAGCTGTCTGTTGCTGCTCCAGCCAGGGATGTGGGAGATGCTGCTGACACAGCACAGCACAAGAGATCAGAGAGGGAAATGCTACTCTGACGGGGTGCTGCCAAAAAGAAATGGGAAGGGCTTCCTCTTTTTTAGAGCATAATGGCAAACCAAGGCGAAAGAATATAGAACAAACACTAAATGTATGCAGGACAGTGACAGACGTCATATAAAAGGTGTTAAATGATTTTTAGGCCTCAATACTTTGTGCCCACAGCTTTCAGACAAGATGTATTTTAGGAAGGGAATACACTCAGGGGGCATTAAGCATCAGTGCAGACACTCATAGTAACAAACTGCTGAATATTCAAGTGTATCAGAAGGAAGAATTCAGGAAAAAACAGAGTAAAGAGAGAATATTGTAAAAACCTTTGACATTCAACCAGTGCTTACACATACTCTGCAAGGCACAGCTGGTGCACACAACTGCAGGAACAGTAATTAAACACCACTACCCAAATACTGCCCACCACCAGTGCCCCCTCAGCATCTCCCACTTGCTCCTTCCATGACTGACATCCTGCCTGGATATGACACCTGGCATAACTGCTGATGTCCCTGACCTTCCTCTGCCATTTCCTGCCCTACAGAAAAGTATTCCATGACTGCCATGGCTGCTGGCAGCATCCTGTGAGAACAATAAAGATGAAATGCAGTTTTCCCCCAGGCTCCCAGAGAACTGGATTATCACATTTCAGCAATTACTGCAAACACTGGATTTACAACAGGGCTCTGTGGAGCTCTGGTGTGTCCCTGTGCCCGCCTAGCTCAGCCTGCATCCCACTTTGCTTCTTTGGCTCACCTGCCAGAACAGTGCCACTGATACTCTTCTGCACCAATTCTGAATTATTCAGCGAGCAGTTAACACATGTGCAATGTGAAACAGCTCTCTCCCAACATACCTCTCTCCAAGGCTTTTTATTGTTAGCCTTAATTTGCTCAATGGGCCAAGAGGTCTAAATTTACAAGTTTTTAAGCATGATCCTATAGCACAATTTATGTACTTCTTAATTAAGAAAAAGGGCAGCACTTTAAAAATATGTGTTCTGTCCCATCCCCATAGCACCTGAACACCAACACTAAAGGAGACATCAGCACCTGCTACAGGTGGAACATGATGAGCATCCAAGGAGCTCAGCATCTCCAGCTGTGCAGCACAGGAGTGGGAGGGAGCAAGGCAGGGCCCATTGCAGTGCATGGGTGAAGGCAAAGCCTGCCTCCATAACCCTGGCAAGCAGCAGCCCGCCCAGAAGCCTGGCAGCCAGATTAATTTTCAGTTCCTGGGGTGCCAATTTCCAACACACAGAAGGGAATGCTGCATTTCTCTGCTCAGCTGTGCCAACGTTTGAAAATTGTGTCTGAGAATCCACATTTTCCTTCCATTAGTCAGTACAAACAGAGGGTTTTCTTCTTCTTTTTCCATTGATGCAAAAATCTGGTACTATGCTGAAGGTCTAACATGGGTAGCCTGAGTCCTGCCAGTGACAAACCAATGCATGCAGAGTCACAGCTGTGCCAAAGCCTCTGCAGGAGGCTGGGACCTGCCATCATCCACATCTCAAAAAAGGCTTCAGCAGCTCTGCTCCACGCTCAGTGAACTGTGGATGGCCAGGGCTCTGCATCTTCTCAGAAGCAAACAGATAATGCAAAACAATAAAAACTGAAGTTCTACTGAGGTGGCTTCCCCAGCAACCAGTGAAGAGGCCACCTGTGTCCTCATCCCCACCTTCTTCTCTGCCTGTGTCACTCAGAGCATGGTCTCATATTTCTAGAGATCAGATAATCAAAAGAAAAATATGAGAACCAAATGCAGGAAACTACCACCTTGGGCATGCTTTCTTCATTCAGGCCCAAGAGTGAGTGTCCAAGACAGCATCCATGCAAGAAGCTGCCAGTGCCCAGGTCTGGACCATGTCCAGCAGGAACATCTCAATGCTGGCTTAGCAATTACAACACCTATTACAAATATTAAGGGTCTTTGGGGTAAGGCAGCACTTAAAATCTGCTATCAAGAAAGCTTGAAATGTATCAAAACCCCTTCAGAAGAGAGAGGAAGTGGAGCCACAGCTGCCAGTGCCATGGTCTCTGCTGACAGCCTGAGAACTTCTAGCTGAGACCCAGAAAACTGCATCATGCAGCTCCAGATGATTGGTTCTCATTTCTCAGCCCTCTGACCAGTCTGCAGGGAGCAGGCACATCATGTCAATCATAAATGACAACACTAAGTTGCTTAAGTAAGAAACCAGACATCACCATATAATTAATGGCACCATGTAAACGCATGAGAAAGGCTGGGAGTCCCTATGGCTGGCTTGAGTCCTGGCCTTTACACTGAAAATGTGAGGCACGAAAGATCAAGAACAATTGTGTGGGGATTTTTAATCGATATCTAACCTGACAATAGGATTTGGAGGAAGATCATCCCATAAAACATAGACGGTATGGCAGACTAATTGTATTTATTCCCTGTTGACCAGAGAGACTCACAGAGAGAGCACTGCATGTCCCAGGAAAGTGCTGAATATCTCCCCAAAAAAGGGAAAGTCACCCATGTGCCTCTGTGAACTATAAAGCCAAACATATTGCTGGAGGTTAATGTCACACATTGCCCTGGCTATACCTATTTTTGAATATCAAACTCATTTACCAGGGCTGTTGAAGTGAAAGCTTCTGAAGGAGATGCACAATGCACCTTCTGTCTCTCTGGTGCCACTGCTCCTGAATTCACCATGGAGCTGAACACAAGCACTGTGCAGACGATAGAAAAGTGTCATCTATTCTTGGCCAGCTGCTTTCTGCCAGCTGCATAACCTTGAGCTCATGACTGAAGGATGCCCGTTTATGCCTGGGAGATGCTGCCATGAATCACAGACCCCTCTTCCTCCCACAGCGAAGGCACAGCGTGTCCTTGTTGAGGAATACCAGTCTACCACAGCCACAGTGAGACATCCTGCAGCACATTTTATAAATAGGTTTCTAAGAAATATACTTCCCATCCTCTTGACAAAAAGTGATTACCAGAGCAAAGAAAATGACTAAACATTGATGCACACCCTGTGAACGTGAAGGAGCCAGACCCCGGGGAACAGCTCAGAGATCCCACAGTGCTGCAGTGCAACCCATCAGGGCAATGCTGGCTAATGGCCACAGCAGCCAGGGCCAGCAGCACTTCTAGGGAGCACATCACAACAAGAAAAATAATACAGAGCTCAAAACCAAAAAGAGGTGACCTATGGGGCCTGGAGCTCTCGAGGAGGACAAGCACAGCCTGGGCAGCCTGTAAGAGAACAGGATCAATGCAGTCACACTGTGTTTTCAGAGGAGCCATAATTCTCCTCTGCGAGGTGCAGTGCTGCTCCCACCATTACAGCCAAGCATCTCCTCTTTCCTTGCACACAGCATTTATATGCCACAGATGCAAATGGAGCTGAGAACACACAGGTATCACAGAGGAAGGTGACATCTGATGTGTGTTTCCTTGATTATTTCTGTGGTGTGGGCACCATCCTCTGTGGGTTGTGAGGGGTCTGTCCTGCCCCAGTGACAGCAGCAGTATCTTCTTTTTTAATATGGAAGTGCAATTGCAAAACCAGGGAGAAACGGGAATTATTTTCCATTTGCTTCTAGAAACAGATGTCACTTTCCTCAGACTTGTTTGTTTTCAGGACCATGGGAGTCTAATCTTTAAAACAATATTTTTACAGTATGTGTCAAGTGCCATTTTGTAATGAAAGGAAACAAATTGCTTCCACTTTGTACACCATGGTAACCAGTCAAGAATGTGAACAGCTCCTCAAAAGTGGGGTCAGCAAACACCCCCCAGGCAAACCACATGAGATCCTTCACACACCCCCACAGACCCAGGGGAGCTGCCCAAACCCTGTGTAAGTAAGAGGAAAATTTGGCTTGACTCCTCCTGGGACTTTGCTGTTCCCACAACAGCCAGAAGAAAAATCACTGAGTGACTTCAAAATACTCCCTGGAGACTAAACATCTCACTGGAGGAAAGCAGATCTACTGCAGGGCCAGCTTCAAGGTTCACCCCAAATTCAAACACAGCCCCAGGGCTCTCCTCAAAGTCAAGCACAGCCCGGGGCTGGTAGCAATCCCACACCATGGTACGCCTGTGCAGCATTTGCTTCTCCAGCTCCTGCCTTGCTTCAGGATGGAACAACACAACCAGAAAACTCCAGAAGGTCTCACTTGAGCCAACTCCATGTTTAGAAAACATATGAGCTGGCATCAGCTCCATATTGCTAAAGAAAATATATAATCCCTCTAGAGACATACAGCTAAGAAGCCTATTTCCCTTTCAGAAAAACAACATCCCCCAGATAGTAAAACATGGGATGCTGACCCCCCCCACAGCAGCTGAACACGGCTGCAGCATCTCGACCAGGTGACCCCAGAGAGAGAACTCATTGTCATCCTACCTGCAGAAGCCAGTAGCACCTTCTGTGAAACGTGGGGATGATGGAGGAATGGACATAGCAGCCATACAGGCACTGGGGACACAAAAAGAGAGAAAGCAGAGTCAGGTTAGTGGAGGAACCATCCCGAGAGGCTGGGCAGGGCGATGGGGCAGCAGTGACCCAGGAATGGAGGGCATTGTTCTGCCCTTGGTCTGGGGCTGGTGACACACGACACAGCTTTGTAACATCTCGGTGTAAGCATTGTAAGCATTGCTACAGGTCACAGAACCCCCTCCCTGACAGCCCCTGCCCTGCTACCTCCACCCCAGGGTGGCCTCCTTGGAGTGGCCAGAGCCAACAGGGGCTCCCGTGGTGCACCACAACACAGACAGGGCTGGTCTAGGGGCTGCCTTCAGATCTTCACCCCATCATATTTTTATTTTTTTGGCAAATAGAACACGTTCATCTCTTTTTCCGTGGTTTATCTCCTGGGTATTTCAACTGAAAATGTTGTGTTTGTAAACTGAAAAAACTGCTGTCAGGTATTTCAGACAGCAAAGTGCCAAAATATAGATTCTTTCTTTCCTTCTTGTTTTGTTGTTGTTTTTTTTTTTTAAATTAATTCTGCTTTTCTGATTAACTGAAATCAGCAGGGCTAAGGAATTCTTTTTGCAAGAAAAAAAACCCCGCATTTCCAATACGTTAAAACTTTTTTGGTTGGAAAACAAGCCCAGTGCCAACCCCAACACACAGAAGTGGTTTTAATTGCAAAGATCCCAAGCACAGAGGGGTGCCCGTGCTGCTGGACACGAGCACGGTGAGGCTGCAGCAGTCCCCCCTCCCCAGGATCACTGCTCACAAGGTCGGCCTGAATTAAACAGGATTTAAGGACTGGCTGCTATCACCAAGTTATTTTTAAAACACAAATGACAAAGATTAATAATGTTTTTAAAATGTGTCAAGGGTACATTCTACACACTGAAATGCAGGGAGGAAAAACAGAGGAGGAAAAAAGCCCTGCAGAAAATAATCCAAAGAAAAGCTTAACATTTAAATCCCTCCTGAGGGTTGGGGAACAGCTGCCCTGACAGTGACTCCTGGCACACAGTGCTGGGGGCTGCATGGAAAGGTCTGCAGTGTTCAGTTCTGCTGACTCAGAGCTGGTCCCCCCACTCCAGAAAGCATCTTGGGAGGTGCAGCATCTCCCAGTCCAACCTGCTCCCCAGAGAGAATGGGAAAGCTGGTCTGGGGCTGCTGGAGCAGCCTCCACAGCAGCCAGGGACATTCACAGCACCTTGTTAGGTATGTATCAATCTATTCCAGCACCCCCCGACTTGCTTCCCACCCCAATTTGCTGTGGAGTCGATCAAAACTTTGCCCTGATTAAAACAAACCCCAGCACTGGGCTCTGTGCACAGCAGCCGGGAGCGCTGCCCTCCCTCTCCGGAGCTGTCTTGCGGATAATTCCGGAGCTGTCAATAATGAATCACACAAAAGCCTCCCACCTCCATGAAACTGGTTCTCAACATTTCAGCAAATCATTAAAAAAATCCTAACAGCTCACAGAATCCAAAAAGCACATAGAACACAGAAGGGATTTTTTAAATTTTTCTTTTCTTTTTTATTTTTTTTTTTCCTCCATGGAAGCAGGACATGAGAATCTGATTCTGGATGGATGTTTTGAGACTGGATGTCCTAACTTGGGCAGCTGGGATGAAGGAGAACCCACACACTGAGCAAGCTCCTGGCCTTGGAGAGACAGCAGGGACTGTCCTCACGGGCAATGAGAGGTGCCACAGCAGCAGAGAAACACTGCAGGGGTGAAACAGACCCTGAGAGCCCAGCATGTGGAGTGCAGGCAAAATGAGTGATGACAGCAATAAAAACTACATTAATTTTTGGATAAAAAGGCATAAGAAAAAGTTGAGGATATAAATAGAAACCTAGGAAATCTGTGTGTCATTGTTTTGGAGGATTTTCAAGATTAATGGGTTAAGCACCGTGGATGACACAAATTCAGCAGCCAGATGGCTCAGCACAGGGGGGCTGTGGGGAGGTGGGTGTAGGATGTTCCTACACTTGGATCTGCTGACCCCTGCCTTTGGCCCTGGGATGCCCCAGGGCTGCCAAGCACTGGCCAGCTCAACACCTCCCTGCAGCTAATGAGGAGAGTGGAATTACCACCCTGCCTGGCCAGAGCAGACAGGTAACCAGGGCACGAGTAATACCTTCAGCTAAAGCAGTCTTTAAAATGAATTCTCGCTCAACATAGGCAAAGGGGGTTTCATTAGCTGTGTTTTCTTTTATTTTTTAAATTATTTTTTAGTGAGAAGGTAAAAGCTGCAGAGGCCTGTGTGTCTGTGGAGATGTTAATGCCAGGCTGGGCGCTAAGCCAATGCATTAAGTGAAATCGAATTCCTGAAACCAGCTTTAATCAGCAGATTTTTAAGGTTAGAACGACTCTCTCCTCTGCAAGGCTTGCCAAGGTTAATTCTGTCCTGAGCAGGCTGAATTAATGGGCTGGACGGAGGAGAACATTTTTTTTCATGATTCTCTTTTAAGTTTACAAAATCTCCAGGAGAAGAGAAAAGGCATTTCTGAGCAGTCTGAGGAGAAACGCCACCTCAGCAGCTCATTGACTGCCGTGTGGAGAACACGGTGGGGGCTGGCATTAACCTGACCCCGGAGCAGCCCTGAGCAGAGGGACACCCAAGGGACGTGGGGATGCTGTGACCCGGCTGGGGGGGGATGCTGTGACCCGGCTGGGGGGGGATGCTGTGACCCACTGCTGGCTGCCCACGGCAGTGCCCCTGTGGTCCCATCGCCTGTCAGGGAGCGTGTCCTTGTCCCTGGAGATGACCCTGTGTGTGTGGGCAAGGATGCTCTGAGCACAGACCTTGTCCTGCCACCATGGGAGATCCCTCCTGTGCAGCTCCCAGGGATGAGACCCCCGCACCTGCCCCAGGAACCAGCTACAGGCACCTTCTGTGCAGCCCCCACCCTGACCCTGCCAGCTCTGCTGCAGCTCATCCCTTTACAATTCCAGGGGTAATTAAGGAGAAAAGGCCTTCTCTGGGCAGCAGGGGAGAGTGTGCAATTACTGCTGCCCACCCTGCCCATTTGTATGCAGTGCACATTTGGCATTACCAAACTTTTGAAAACTGGAGGGGGGGTGGAATATAAAATCAAATTATTAGTGGATTTTTTTTAATCCTGAGCTCCTTAAAGTGATTGTGGCTTATTTAAAAATAATACAATAATGCTAAGGTGTTCTTCCTTAACAAGCATACCTTGGGAATGGAAACAAGAAAGCAAGAGAATCAAAAATTCAAGATAGGGTTGGACAGGCTTTGAAATTCTTCTCCCTGGTGAGTTACACTAGTGGATATTTAAAAAACCCTAAAAATCGCCTAGATTTTGTTCAGATTTTCACACTGAATTCCCAATTCCCTTAATAAGAAACTAAATCAATCTTTAGAGAACAAATCACATAAGACCTATGGCTGTACATTATTAAAATATACTTGAGTAATTTTCTGGTGGCAAGGCTTCAGCTTTCAACACCCCAGCAGCCTCTGGACACCAGGAGAAGGATCTGTACTGGTTACTGTGGGAAAAGGACCCTGCCCTCTGCTCCTGGCTCCGTGGGGGTATTGGCAACACGTGCTCAGCCCAGCAGCTGATGGGCTCCCTGGTACATCCCTGTGCTGTTAGGATCTCCCTCTGTAATTACTGACCATTTCAGAGCTTCCTCACCAATTTCCATGAGGGAGCAGCACACTGCTGGCAGCAGCAGCAGCACTGCTGCCATGAATCAAACCTCCATGCAAAGCCAAGAGAGGCATCGGCTTCATTCCTCTCATCATCCTGATGACAGGGTACAGGTCTCCTGGAGCAGGGGCTGTACCTGAGCCCACCCACGCCTGCTGTAACCAGCACATACTGGGAGGGAGCAGCAGCACATATGGATTCACAGGGAAACAGGGAAAACTGGAAAAGCAGCCTGTAAGTGCTCAGATGAGCAACCTTCAATGCAGCAACCCGTGTTTTGGTGATACAGTCAGAATGCAACGACAAACCCCACTCTCCCAACCCTATCATAGTATATGGAATCATTTTGTGATTTTATCACAGACATCTCCATAATCTGTTCTTAGAGGTACCACTGCTATCCCATTCTTTTCATCAACATTTCCATATCCCAGCAGAGAAACCATCCAATCTTCCAGAAACCAATACCTCTGGATTTCATACAAATCATGACCAGAAGAATTTGTCAGCTATTTGTAGTGATACATTTGTTTTACGTGTAGGAGCAATTGTCCATCCGGTTCTGCAACCAGTAACCACGAAAATCTCAGCTGACCCTCTGAGAGGGCAGAGCCCTGCTAGAAAAGTGAGGCAGCTGCAAACTGGGCTTCTTGGCCACCAAATCAGCAACCACCGGGGAAACCCCTCAAATTTTGCGTTCTCAAACAGACCTGAAGCGAGCGCCGTCTGAGATTGGGTTATCTTGCAACAGATGATCCTTCCTTCAGGACAGGGATGCTGAATCCACAGTCACATTCCAAATGCATTTAAACGTCAGATGAGGCTCGCCCCTGTCAGCTGCGGGAGCTGGGAGACAGCGGCGGCTCCCGCCCACTCCATTAATCAGGATTCAGCGAGAAAAGCCAATGTGCTGCTATAAACCCCCTGACTCGATGCCAGCACCACGCAGGGAGCCACGTGCCATCAATCTTCCCTGTCCTCCTGCAGCAGCCGGGGGGGACTGACGGGGGCTCGTGACAACTCCGAGAGGCACAACCACGCTGAGCAGACAGGGAGGCGACAGGAGATTCTCAACATTTCCACGCGCAGATTGGCCCCTGTTCAGCTTTTTAAAGCAGTAAACGGGGAGGGGAAACCATGTCTGAACCCTGGGGAATCCCAGGGCCAGAAGGCTGCCGCCAGAGCTCTTATTTTGACTTAAGGAGTGTCATAATATAGGAATGGATCCAAAATTCCCCATTACTGCTGCAAATCAAAACCAAAACACTGCTAACCGTGTATTCTCACTCATCATCTTGGAGAAACACAGATATGAGACAGGT